CACACACACACACACACACACACACACACACACACACACACACACACACACACACACACAAATACACCATATATATGAATAAAAATTCAAGTCTTTTGAGTCAAAATTAAAGACATTTTTCAATCTTAGCATTTCAGGCCTCGGCCATCCATTATGGCATTGTCTGCTGGTCAGGCAGCATCTCGGACCGGGACAGAAAGATACTGGAGCGACTGGTCAGGAGGGCCAGTTCTGTCCTGGGCTGCTCCCTAGACACTCTGGAGGAGGTGGGCAACAGGAGGATGCTAGCTAAGCTAAAAGCTATGATGGACAGTCCCTTCCACCCCCTCCAGCCCGCCCTGACAGCACTAGGTAGCTCCTTCAGCCAGAGACTGTTACACCCGCGCTGCAAGAAGGAGAGATACCGCCGCTCGTTCCTACCGACTGCTGTCAGGCTGCTGAATAAAAAATAAAATGATGTGAAAACAATTGTAAATAGCACAGCGACCTTATCTATATCTATATTTATATTGCACTTAATTGAACGGTGTACATTTATTTTGTGAATGCAAACACTTTGTTTTTCTTCTTTCTTCTTTCTACCCACAATCTTGCTGCTGTAGACTGTAAATTTCCCCAGTGTGGGACAAATAAAGGATATCTTAAATCTTAGCACTCAAGGTGGGATCTACATATATGATGTGTATGTGTGCAAGTACAGCTAACTAACGCAAGTAGAGATCCTGAGTGCATAGTGGTTAATGCGTAAATACGTGTGAGTAAGCAAGATTGCATGACTTTACTTAGGACGCATGAAATTTAGTAGGGACTCTTCTTGACTTGTTTGATTTCTGCCACAGTAACTTGACTTGCTAGGAACTTGAAGGGTAAGACTGCTCATGACTGGCCTTTCAGTGACTCCCAGTGGATCATTGAAACCCCCCCAAAAACTACTTTCCAATGAATGAAAAAGTCTACACACCAATGTTCAAATTGCAGGTTTTTGTGAAAATGAGCTGAAGACAAATAATTTCAAAATTATGCGAATCCGTCACAATATTGCTGAACATTTATCTTTGCCTGAATATTTCAGGATCAGCTCTTTGGATTTGAAACAAAAATTTAATGGTTTCTATTTTTGGATTATTTATTCATGTATTTGCTAGGCAGGTCAAATGCAAATATAAATTCATATAGAGTAGAGACACGAGATACCGTACATTTAAATATTCATGAAAATATAACACCCGGTATGATTTACACTCACGCAAATATAATATTATTAATAAACTAATCCATGCATTCCCAGGACTTTGTAAAACACGTTTCCTTACCTGAGATTCATAGGGCAGAAAGGCTACATGGATTTCAGTCAAGGCCTTCATGGCTTTGGAGGCGCGAGAGTTGGTCAAGAGACCAAACATGGAGTCTGGAATTGCTGCAGTAAATCAAACACAAACGTGTTATTTAAATCCATAAACATTCCCTCAGTGAAGCAATAAATGCTAACGTTAGATTGTGTTTCATTTTAAGAGATGTGCGCAGATATTAAGCCCCATATAACTTGAAGGTTGCGGTTTATTCTAATAATAACTGTGTCCCTCAGCAGTGAGCAAGCCATCCATCCATCCATTTTCTGATCTGCTTATCCTCACGAGGGTCGCGGGCGTGCTGGAGCCTGACCCAGCTGTCTTCGGGCAATAGGCGGGGGACAACCTGAACTGGTTGCCACCCAATTGCAAGGCACATGCAGACAAAAAAACCACACGCGCTCACACTCAACCTTGGGACGATTTAGAATGTTCCATTAACCTGCCACGCATGCTTTTAGAATGTTGGAGGAAACCGGAGAACACGGAGAAAACCCACGTAGGCACGGGGAGAATATGCAAACTCCACACAGGAAGACCGGAGCTGGAATCGAACCCGACAGCCCTGCATGCACTGTGAGGCGGACATGCTAACCCAGGGGTGTCAAACATACGGCCCGCGGGCGGTACCCGGCCCGCAAGGATGTTCAATCAGACCCGCAGGATAATTTAAAAGTGAAAAAAATGCATAAAAGACACAGAATTAATATTTTTAATAAGGTGCAATTCATTGAGTATCCGCAAGGGGGCACTGTTTTGATCAGAGAAGAAGACAACAGCAGCCTCAGTCTGTCACTGAGACAGACCCATGACAGCAGACGCTATCAATAGCACTCTGACATTTACACATTTAATAGCACTCTCCTGAGTTTGTAAGGTGTAGGCAGGGATTACATTTAGATTTTATATGTACGTGTAAATGGTTTAAAACTTCCTTTCTTTATAAATCTCGTTTAATCTTAAAGTGCATCTCTATATTTTTCAATACCAATTACTTGTTAAAGTTTGTACAATCAGTGGAATCAGTTGCAATGCATATTTGTGAATGATAAAACTAAATTGCACATTTGTCGAAGGAAATGTAAGGTGCTCCCTGAAATGTTTTGTAAAAGATATGTTCATTAAATTTCAACATTTTCCTAATGTTCTTGTGCTTCTTTATACCAAAACAAAGGAAAGACATATTGTTTTGGTTATTTACAGCAAAGTATGGTATCATTTTAATGGTCCGGCCCACTTGACATCTACCGAGGCCGTATTTGGCCCACTATGTGAAATGAGTTTGACACCCCTGTGCTAACCAGTCGACCACTAGTGTGCAAGCATTTTTGTAAAATATTATAGAACAGTGTTTTTCAACCTTTTTTGAGCCAGGGCACGTTTTTTACATTGGAAAAATTTTGCGGCACACCACTAACCAAAAATGTGATAAAATGACACTCTGAACAGTGTATTTAATTAAAATATAATTTCTCAGTTTATTTATACTCAATCAGTGTGAAACCTGGGGCTGTTTAGATCAGGGTTTTTCGAGCTTGAAAATGTGAACCCCCCCCCCCCGCTTATTTTACCAACTAACGTGTTATATTGTTACTATAACCGTTTTTAACATTGAAGAATGACGTTATAACAGCTTGAATTGGAATCTAATGAACACAAAGAAAACAGTATTTTATCATCTTTCATATTTATTGTTTCACCGTCGTCCTGCATTCATGCGGCACAAATTCGCTTGTCTCTCGTCGAAACACAAGGCAATTGGCTAGCTGTTGCTGCTCCCTAGCGGTATGGGAGGGTACTACATGATTACTTTCTGGGCGAAAGACCGCACAGGCATAAAAATTGGATATTTTCCCGCGGCACACACACCGGTTGAAAAACACTGTTATAGAACATTACATGTCCAGTGTATTGTTATTTTTAAATATTATAACAACCTATTGCATGTGTTTATTTCAAGATGAATCTACAAATAGCTTTGTGTTACTCACTGTCGGTGAAGAAGACATGGGCTGCCCTATACCTCGGAGACCGTGGATCTCTGAAGTCATCAATCAGACCCTCAACGGACTGTCAACAGAAAATGAGACGATTTCTCATGATCTTGTGTAAAAAGTAGTTACTTCTGAAATGATACATGACTGTGAGCAAAGACACAATTCCTTTACATTAGGAAATGCATTGGTGACTGTTTGGAGTACAGTATAACAATGAAATAATAAAACAACTACAGTATTTACATCCCTGCGTTTCCCATCAAATCAAGCAGGCACCATTAGTGCCACAGCAGTAGGCAGGTTTCCAGTTGTAGCTAAAATATGGGTCATTCGCAGGCTGGGACAGCGTCTTTAACACCGTGTTACATGACCTTTTCTTTGAACAGCATTCAACAAACGTTTAAGAAGTGAGGACCCAAATTGTTGAAGCTTTGTCGGTGGAATTCCTTCCCATTCAGCTCTTCAACAGTGCAGGGTCTCCATTATTGCATTTTACACTTCATCACGCACCACATATTTTCAACGGGAGACAGGTCTGGACAGCAGGCAGGCCAGTCTCGTACCCTCACACTTTTAACCTCTACTACGAAGCCACACTGTTGTAAGAATGTGTTTTGGCATTGTCTTGCTGAAATAAGATGGGATGTTCATGAAAAAGGCGTTGCTTGGATGGCAGCATATGTTTCTCCAAAACCTCTATGTACCTTTCAGCATTAATGCTACCATCACTGATGCCATTGGCACTAACACAACCCCATACCATCACAGATGCTGGCTTTTGAACGTTGTGTCCATGACTGTCCGGTTGCTTATTTACCTCTTTCGTTCAAAGGACATGATGTCCACTTCTTCTTCTTCTTCTTCTCCTTTCGGCACGTCCCTATTCAGGGGTCGCCACAGCGAGCCAGTAATTTCCATCCGCCCCCGTAAACCGACCTACCAACTCGCATGGTCGTCTTGGCAAAAGTTTTACGCCGGATGCCATTCCTGACGCAACCCTCCCCATTTCTCCGGGCTTGGGACCGGCACTGGGGAACAGTGCACCCCCAGGGGAGGGCACTGCCCCCCAGCGGCTGGGTTCAAAGGACATGATGTCCACAATTTCTAAAAAAAAAATTTGAAATGTGGACACTTCAGACCAAAGAACACTTTTCCACTTTGCATCAGTCCATCTTTGATGAGCTCAGGCCCAGAGAAGCCTAAATTCTTTGCAATAGTACGTTAAGGGACATTGTCGTGAAACTATTGTCCCACCTAGTTGTTCACAAAGAGGTGACCCTTGCCGGATCTTTGCTTGTGAATGACTGAGCAATTCAGGGAAGCTCTTTTCAAAGCCAATCATGGCACCCACCTGTTCCTAGATAGCCTGTTCACCTGTGGGATGTTCAAAACAGGTGTTTGATGGGCATTCCTCAAATATCTTTTGTCTTTTTTGCCTCTAGTTCCAACTTTTTTGAAACGTGTTGCAGCCATAAAATTATTGAAAGATAGTGATAATTTGCTCAAAACAATGTTTGTTAGTTTGAACATGAAATCTTTTTGCAGTGTATTCAATTAAATATAGTTTGAACATGAGTTGCAAATCATTGTATTCTGTTTTTATTTGTGTTTAACACAGAGATGAAAGTGGACTTTTCTGAAAATTCCGGAAAAAATAAATAAATAAATAAATAAATGTGTGTGTGTGTGTGTGTGTGTGTGTGTGTGTGTGTGCGTGCCCACACGCACGCGCGTGTGAGACATCTCTTCCTGGCGAGCCGCCA